ATATTTTGTCCAATAACAACTTGCAGGCATTTGATTACTTAAAAAAAAAAAATTGACTGGTAACATAGTCGCGTAAAGTCTCAAAAAACTTTATCAATAATAGGTAAAGAGTACGGGAAAAATCAAGCATTAATTGTTTATTCGCAATACATGATCATCCCATCAGCCCCTCACTTTACCCACTTGTAACTGTTCTTTAATAAAAATTGAATGGAAAAGAAAAACTGAATCATTTTGAATAGATTTTTCGTAATCATCAATATGTTTGCAAATATAAAACTGAGTACGAAAATAATAATTTCGAACAGTAAATGAATTCTTGAAATGCATATGCGTGACGTGACTCTACCGTAAAATAATTGGTAAGGAAACAAAACATGAGTAAGTGCAATTACACGTGACAAATTTCATTTATAATTATTCAAGTTTACCATTATGTGACGGTAAATATTACAAAATTATTTAATGATCGAAATACTGACAAAGCTTCAACTATCAACATCAATCATTTGTGATGAAAAAATTAATTCACCACGTGTTTGAGAGGATACATTTTATTTACCTTGGCCTATAAGTACACAAACGATTGATAAAATGTTACGTAACGTTATACGCACAAACAGGTTAGAAAAAATGGCCTGTAAGATTGAGATCACGCCCTTGAAGAGACTGCGTTAGAAGGACACTGTACTCGGCTATTGGAAAAACTTGAGGGGAAATAGGTAACGATGCAATTACCAAAACTAAGTAGGTTTGCCTTGTGTCCAGTGATTTTTTTCGTGAGTCGTTTTACAATGTTAAAGCGTATACGCTTCTTGATAAATATGTTGGAAGGATTTTTCCGATGTTACATGGTTGTGCAGTACCTATGGCTAAAACCAAATTTTTTTTTCAAACGACGTCATTAAACTTTCGGTTTTAATATTTTAATAATTTACCGAATAGAACACTGGTATGATAAAGATGCGTTTTGCCTAAATTGACAATTTTACAGAACCAAAAGGTTAAAATGAAAAAAGCCTGCTTGCAGAAAGTGATCAATATCATCTCGTTCGAGACCTCATTAGTCCAAAGTTATCATAATCTTTGTCTTCGTCAAGTATACACGTGCTCATCAATGACCCACGAGAAAGCTTCGCCAGCACAAACACTTTTACTTTCGAGCCGTTGGTTTCCTGTGACCATCTCGTCTGATCTCATCCTCCGATTCAATCCCGAATCTGCTGCACGTGTACCTTCGTTCCCATGTTTCCGACGAGCCGGCTGTCTATACACGCGCTGTTACCACGCATTAATATGCGTCGAACAGTACAGCTGTTTATACGTTGTAAACACAACGCGTTGAATTTCTTATAGCACGGCTCGGCGTGGCTCACTGACTTTTAAATACTTGTGTTCCTGCTTTACTCGGCCCATACGGTTAATCGTGAGTCACTCGGTCTCTCACCCATTGTCGGGCCGTCGGAGGCTAGCCTCTCGACAAATTGCCTTTATTGTCTAAGCCCACTGCACTCGGGACGAAGGCTCTGCGATTTCGATTGATTGCAAATGTGCCATACCGGACTGGAAAATGGATCGTTTCGATCGATGCTTCTCGATCAAATTATTTGTCATCGATGTATATAAGTTACTGCCGTAGCGCTGTCTCCTCCAAGGATGATCAAATGATGAGCTTCGCTGATTATTGTTGTTTTGTAAGTGATGAGGAAAAATATCTTGAGAATTCAGTCAAGGCTTTCGGTCTTTGAAAGAAAACTTCGAGCTGTGAATCAATCAATTATCCGAGAATGGCGCTGTACCGATTATGTACAATTTTCTTTGTAGTTCTGTATCAATGATGATTAATTGAAACTCTTCGATTGCGCGCAATTGTCTCGCCACGTGTGATTACTTTTCATTTGGTTGATTTCTTCGTTACAGTGCAAATAATTTCGAGTAATTGGGACTTGCCTTGCTAATGATTTCTCTCCAGTAAATAATCCAATTTTTTTGAAACAATTAACTCTGTGTACTTATCTTAGTTTATTAAATATTGTATCTTTTATGTTAAACATTTCGTACAAGTGTTATTTGTTATATTTCAGAAATGTTTCTACAGTTTTTTTTTTTTTTTTTTTAATTGTAAGGAAGATTTTTTTATTTTCTATCTCGTACATTTCGCGTGTTAAGATTTAAACCTCTGAAAATTATGTATACGCATACACATACTGTCAGTATCGAGGGAGACAGTCAATATGACAAAGTAGAGGGCACTGCTCCTACTCTATCTATAGCATTGGCGGTAGATTGTTTTTTACATTACAATAATCTAAAAAAAAAAAAAAAAACTAAAAAAAAAGATCCAACTTCTACTAAGCATTTTTGATATTATACAGATTGTATTAATATGTAAAAAATGAACTTTTCAATAAAAGAATAAAAAACAGTTTCTTATATAGAGAGAACACTAAAGAGCACTACCCTAAAAATCATGTAAAGTAGTAGTTTTCGTACAGTTAGTTCTCAAGTATCGTACGACGTTTTTTTGAGCTGTTTTGCAAACGCAAATGACTTTTTCGCCCGTGGGCGCAAAGTGAGATCAGATAGCACAGAGGGCTTGCCTTAGTTGATATATTATTTAATATATTGTATGTAACATATAATATTACAATTGCCGTTATCAAGACAGTATTTGGGGTTAACCTCCATTGAGGTTAAAAAACGTCAAAAAAATGTTTCGAAAACATCAACCAGACATTTATCATCATTTTCCGTGAGCAAAATTAAAAACAACAACCACATAAATGACTTGTAATTTTTGAGTAATAACATTATAAGGTTCACACTATAATTGGTTAATTATTGAGAAAAAAAGTTATGCATGTGACAACAAACTAACTTGAACTGTCTATATAACATCTTTGAAAATGCATGGTTATTTGTTAAGAGACAATAGTGTGCAAGAATAAAAATGTCGCTTGACTTTAAATTTCTTTTGTCAATAGTAATAAGTCGTCATACTAATTTAAGGTGCAATCCCACGGCGCGTAATAGAGCTGCAAAGTAGACTTCACGAGAGCGAGCCAACAAGAGCTGTTGCGCGCCTTTTTATCCTACTCGGACAAAGTTCGCCCTGTTTACATAGGCAGAAAAGACCGACGCACAACGCATTTAAGCCCGTGAGTGCGAGTGAGAGATTTGTTATACTTTTTTCTCACTTGCACTCACAGGCTTAAATGCGTTGCACATCGGCCTTTTCTGCCCATATCAACAGGGCGGTCTTTGCACGAGCAGAATAGAGAATACATTCATCGGGTTGATCAACCTGTAATGCTGATGACGACGAGAACTAAATTAAAATTTATAATCAAAAAGGACCTTATTGCTAGAAAACATAAACATAAGTAAGTTATACATTGTAAACAAACACTAAAAAAGCAACGGAGCGAGAAAAACCATCAGTGGAACAGAAAGGCGCGCAATAGCTCTGATTGGCTTGTTCTATTGAGCGGAATCTAATTCGTGGCTCCATTACGTACCGTGGGACTGACTGCACCTTTATGGATGTCAGTCCAAAATGGCGTGATCACTGGTTATTTTTGTTTTTTCTTTTAAAATTTTCATCAAATGTGCTTTTATAACCAAAACTTCTAGAGGATCTCTCAGCTGATAAAATACTCATAAAAATTTTAGCTTTTCGTGAGATGGACAGTGAATTATTTAAATACTCATTCAGCAAGTGATTTGAAACAATACATCAATTTATCGCAAGCAAACAGTTTATTAGAAAAACGAATCTTTTTCATAGAGGTAAAAATGATCTTTTGTAAATTATGATAATTAATACCTAATGATGGAGAAAAACACTAGATCAAACAAATCTTATCACTTAAATCATATTCAAATGGCAAAGTATGGTTAAACCCAACTATTAAGTGAACCTACAAATATCGTGGTCTATGTCATCAAATTCATCAGATTATAAATACGATGTACATAGGTACATGTATACCTACAGGTACATACATAATAGTTGTGCTTAACCATAATCATACTCCTGAATATATGAGTATATAAACATGTAGAAAATGTACACTGCTCGTTTTTTTTTTTTTTTTTTTGTTTTTTTTGTATTTTTTAAAGGCTTATTAAGTCCTTAAAGGCTTTTATAACTAAAACCTGCTCGTTCCTGTAGGAACGAGCAATCTATATATTATGTACAGAGCTCAAGCTAAAGCATGAGTACAACAAGTAGTAGAAAGAGACACTCACGCTCAGTGATGTGTCTCTTTCTACTTGTGCTTCAAGCACTGCACATTGAAACTAACATTTTTTTATGTATCCATAAATATGAGTGATGAGATTCGTTAAGCCTAGTGTTTTTTATACAATATAAGGCATAAATTGTTACTAGAATTTAAAATAAAATAAATTTAACTCTAGAGGTGTATCAAAAAGGTTCATCTAACTAACTTTTTACTCGCAATAACTTTATTCACTGTTACAAGTTATTTGTGAAATGAGTATTCAAGAAATGCCTATCTCTTTCTTCGACCATCAAGTGAGACCTCACCTGAGGTCTCAGGTGACTATCTCATGCCTTCACTTAAGATCTCTTGAAAAGTATTGTACAAAAAAAAAAATTAAAAATTAATTTTACAACAGTAAAAATTACCCCATTGGTATTACCATGTATGTGAATGATGCATCGAAAATTACATTTTTTTAAATGTTTTATGTCAATTTTTAGAGGTAAAACAAATTTTTTAAATTCTCAAGTGAGATCTCGGGTGCTTTCTCAGATGAGATATCAGATAGGATCTCACATACGAATTTTAAAAATTTACTTCAGTTTTAAAAGTTAACATAAAACACTTTCAAAGATGTACTGTCCAAATGGTATTAATAACGGGAAAGCTTTAAGTACAGTAAAATTATTTCCTATTTTTTTTATTAGTAACGATACTTTTTTTTAAATCTCAAGTGAGTTCTTGGCATGAGATAGTCTCTTGAAATCTCACCTCATGGTCATAGATAGGGCTGAAGAAGTCTTAAAAATCTCATCTCACTAATATATAAAGCAAAGTCGCAAAAACCGTTGTAATCACTAACCACGAAAACTACTCAACCGATTTTGCTGAAATTTTACATACTGATTCACGACACTTCGTAGATGGTTTTCGTATAGTTTTTATCTTGAAAAATTAATAACAATAGCAATGAATAAGCTAAAATTTTTGCAAAAATATGCTAGCTTCTCACTTTAGTTTAGTAGGATCCAGTATGTGGTGTGGAAGTAAAATTGAATCTGCCTGCAATGGAAGTATGTGGATCTAGTTATAATATAGTATCCCTGAGAAAATTGCCAACTATCATAGTCGTTCACCAGCAGTGCATCAAAAATAGAGTCGTGAGTCATGCAGCTGGGTATCCCCGCTACCGACGACACATCTCCGATGACAAGGTGACCTACGTCGAGTTCTATTCCAAACCACCAAGATTAATAAGTGTCACGAATAAAAGACATTCTGAACGCCAACATCTCCGGTGTTATATCAGAAGATCTCTAGCTAGAGCACAATTTGCTTTAACAATTTGGAGTTTCGTGGCCGTTCTTACATCCGTTCTGGTGCTACCAGAGGGCTATAACAGTAAACCAGGCACAAGAACCCTGAGGAGTTGGAAATTTCGTCAGGCTCTTCCACAGTAGTATATCCCAACGGCATATCCACAGAGTAGGTATTCTCCAGGCTCCAGGCCCACTTCTCCGACCAACTGGAACGGTTCGTTATCTGGAGAATGACCGGAAGACGAGATATTTTTCGGCCAACGGCGCACAGTGATCATTTTTGCTGTTTTTCTATTCAAATTCAAATATCTCTGGAATAAAAGTAGCCAGGCCAATAATTACTTTTGGAGCTTGTAGGTGACATAGCCGACCAGTGGACCAGCAATCCCTCGAGCTTGGTAGCCGAGATCCCCGCATCAACCGACGCAGCCTCCAGCGGGAGCGCAGCCCGCTTTCTCGGGCCACAACAATACCGCCCGAAATCGCCAAGGAACTCGCGAGCCAAAAAGAACGGATCGAGTACTTGGAGAAAATAGTGAGTGAGTACTCAGTTCAGCTAGAAAAATCCATGCAGCTGATTAACTCTTTAAAACTCTCCAACGAGGAGAAAGACGCGACTATTGTAGCACTCTCTGCAAAGTCACCCTGCACAGAGAAAACCCCGCTACCAAAAGGCCCGGGTCTTGTTGTACCGTCACCTCTAAATCGTGACCCCTAAATCTCCTTAACTCTTCCTCTCTGGAAGCCCCGAAATTCCCCCCGCTACCAAATAAGGTAACCAACAATTCGGCCAACTCCCCGAATGTAAAGCCACCCCCAAAAAAACGGCGCACGCTCGACCTGAACGCGGACGATTCCGCAGCCAATTTCTCCGATATGGAGATAGAATTATCACCAACCCACGTTTCACCATTCAGCTCTTCCCAGGCAGGGAAAAACGCCTTTGACGGTTATCTTGAGGACCAAGCTCAAAATGACTCAGAGGAAACCAACAGCGCCCCCAAAAAAAAGGCACCTCCACCGATTACAATCCTGGACCAAAACTTATGGCCCAGGATTAACAAAGCCCTTATGGCGGAGAACATCCCTGTCCGCCGCGCCATTACGACCTCTGAAAGCACTCGCGTGTACCCCGAGAACGTCGACAGCTTTCGACGAATCGTCCACGACCTTGACGAAAAAAAGGTCGAGTTTATTATCCATCAACTTCAAGAGGATCGTGAAATGATAGTTGTCTTCCGTGGAGTCAACACTGGCTATACGGAAGCAGAAATCCTGAAGATGATCCAGGAAAAAGTACCATCCGCCCGCTGGGTCGAACGCATGACCAAGGGTGAACGGACCTGGTCCCTGGTTACCGTGTACCTGGATGAGTTGGATGCCAAATCTAACGACATCTATAACCTCAGGTCACTCGGGGGCACTTCTGTCAGAGTGGAACAGAAGCGCAAATCGAGTGATGTACCTCAATGCCATCGCTGCCAAAAGTTCAACCACACGGCAGTCTACTGCAGCGCCGCCTTCGTCTGTAGTTTCTGCAGTTGAAACCACGCTACCGCAACCTGTCCAAAAAAGGACAAGGACCAAGTCACCCTTCGTTGTGCTAACTGCCATGATGAGCACCGCGCCTTCTACCGGGGTTGTTCAAAAATCTCCCAAAAAGGAGTTCACGCTCCAAAGAAAAGCACTACCCCTCCTCCCCCCCTTTTGGGAGAGCCACCCCTCGGACAACAGCCCAAGGCTCGAACATCATTCGCCCGGGGATGTCATATGCGAATGTGACATCCTCTCATCAACACCAAACAGGAGCTCCTCCCCCGACTCCTCTGCTCAACACACCCCCGACCACCGAGACAATCCTCCACTCAATCATGACCCTGCTGACTCGCCTCGACCAAAGAGTATCCGGTCTCGAGGGCAACAGAACAGCAGCACGCTAGACAGAGACTTTACGCTACTCAGCTGGAACGCGAACAGCATCACACACAAAACGACTGAACTCTGATACATAGTCCAGACAAAAAACATCGATATTGCATGCATCACTGAAACACACCTAGACAACACGAAAACACTCTACATACCAAACTACACGGTACACAGACGTGACAGACGCAAAAAATCCCATGGCGGAGTGGCTATCCTTGTACGCAAGGGCATCCGCCATCGAGTCATAAGTACGAACGCTGCCAACTGCGAAACAGTCGGCATTGAAGTACACACCACCTCATCTGCCTCCATCAGGATCATCTCCCTCTATTCTCCTCCAAAGGATGATCCAAACCTCCAATGCATAATCCCGCTGTTTGACTCCAACATTCCTACGATAGTTGCTGGTGATCTAAACGCCAAGCACAAATCGTGGGGATGCAAACACGAAAATCCTAAGGGTCGTTCCCTCCTCAAACACTTGCGCAACCTCAACATCAACATTGAGGTTCCGAGTGAACCGACTCACTA